AGTCATTTATGAGCAATGGAATGGTTTAGTCCTGTCTGGAACGAGGAATTAGCTGGCCCTGCTCAACTGGGCCTTCCTGGTGAACGCAACGTAAAAAAGAAAAATCCCCACCACAGGTCGGGGCCGTCTTCCAAAGCGATTTATTTCTCTGCTGGCCATGACTTTGTCTCTGAATTTAAAGTAAGAATTAAGCAGTAAATCCTTTTGTATTTTTTACAGGCACATTTAATGAAATAAGGCACTAAAAGCACATGCAGGCTTACTAGAATAAAACACCCTGCAAAAATATTTGTCTCCAGTAAAGTGAATTCAAGCTTATCCAATCATTATTGATTTTGGTGGAGTATTGCCGTAGCATCATTATCCACCTTACGGTGATGTGTAAGTTTTCCCCTTATTAAATCTTACAGTAATACATCTTTCTGTTGTTGCATATTTCCTTCTGTGGCGCAGCAGCTGTTGACTGCAGTGAATAACAGGGTTACAGATTTCATATCAGAGAGAATGAGAAAACAAGACAGAAAAAAAAACTCAGGAAGGAAATATGATATTGGATATTCGAAAGGCATTCGGAAACAATATTAGATTTTTAACAGCTGGACGTTAAGACAAGGACAAATAATATGTGCGACGAGGAAGAGGGCGGAGAGATAAATGGTTGTGATTCTTATTCACAAGGACATTTGAGCTTTGCCTCATGGCCAGACATGAATGAGTAGATTTCAATAGTATCGACTGTTGCTTTGGACATCAGCAAACACACATACTCCCGCACAGGCATAAAGACTGACCGTCTGGAATACAGAATGGACTTGTCTGCTGTTCAGGATTTTCTGCTAAAAAAAATAAAAAAATAAAAACAGCATTACAAACTGAAAGGTTCTGAATGGGATCGGCCTTTTTGTCTTATGGGAATCTACAGTCTGATCAACATCTAAACTTTAGTTTTTAGAGTAAACTTCTTCTCAAATGTACAAGCTGCAGTATAATTAAATGTAGCCTTGAATCAGTTTTTGTTGAACCAGCTTTTGCAGCATGAGGTTAAAGGTTTTTTTGTATCTTTGTGCAGGTATTTTGTTCTTCCCTTCTTTCTTGAACCCTTATAGTTCAGTCAGGTTTCTGAGCAGCTTTGCTATCTTCTCTACAGCTGCTCAAACAGGTTAAGGTTAGACTTAGTTCTTTTTATGGGGCATTAGAACTTATTGCAGCACTTTGGAAACCTTGTGTTTATTTAAACCGTGCTATATAAATAAAGTGGATTGGATTGGATTATTGGTTGTTTCATTTCTCTACTTTGTTGGATTAAGCTTTAATCGTCAGAAAGAAAGCTGCATATTTGATTTCTAAGTGCTGCAATTTACCCAGATGCCTTTGAAATAAACCAAATTCCTCATCTGCGCACTTCTTAACCTGAAAGTTGCTATATAATTTTTGGCTTTAACTAATCCTGATGTTCTGCTTAATGGCTAGACATCTTTAGTGTGATCTTATCCGTCTAAAGGACATTGTACCAGAGATCTCATGGTTCTTCTTTATATAGCTTTGCTAACTCAAGTTGTGCTGTCAAATTCTAAAAGATATTCCTTATCCTTGCATTTTTTTTGTCTTGATTAGACTTTTTCTAACTGTACTATCATAAAAGAGAACTTTATGCGGGTAAAAGAGACCTGTAGAGTCTAGAAGGGGCTTTATTTCTTTGCATGTTGCATGGTCTGATTTGCTGCTGCTAGCTGTCTCAAAGCTCCTCCACTGGTGAGTAATCTTTCTCACTGCAGAATAATTGACTTCCGCTTGTTTAAAAATCACCTCAGAACTCTTCCTGTTTTGATGGGTGGGGGCCGTAGCTTCAAATGAAATGCTCAAAGTTCAAATGGAATGTACTTCTCGCGTAATAATAATAATGGTGACAAAGTTTTTAAACTATGGTTAGATAAATTAGCAGAATAGCGTTGTTTTCTAATAAAGTAATGTCCATTAGTCAACTGATTTATGTTCACATTTAATTAGTTTCTCCTATTTTGTTTTTTTATGATTACATTTGGGGCCCGAGCTGTGTGACTTTGAATTATAATTTTTTTATTTGTGGGTGTCTCTGTCTTCAAAAGGCAGAGGACTGATATAACTCACTCTGTCTTGTACTGATATGTAAGAGTAGAACTTTGATGCTTGTCAACACTTTCTAAACATACCCAGGGAGCTGGAATGACACACACGTTAAGTTACACTCAGATTTATTTTGTTTCTGACTGCTTTTCTATTCTATCCATTAAAAGAAAAGACCAACCCTTAGCTCCTCAGCCGCTTTCCTTCCTGACAGTGGGCACACACATACTGAGCAGTCACAGCCAACGAGACGTTTTCATGGCAAAAATTGGATGCTCTCTTCTCGTTCCTCTCCAAAACTCAGCAGCACTCAAAACTCAAAGTGACATGTTTTGGCTTTGTGTTGAGGCAAAATGCGTTACTTACACACTCAAAGCAGTCATGCTAAGAAAATAGCTATTCTGACAACAGTCAACAGAAAGGATGTCTTCAAGAAGAAAAGACGCTGTTGTTGGTGCAGCTTTTCAGATCTAATTTTACTTCCTAAATTTTTGCTTTTTACATTTTGACCCAGTTTACAAAGGATACATTTGTTAAATTATGTCGGAGATCAATGAATGTACAATTTATTTGTTTATTTTTTTAAATGTCATACCATTGAAATTGTGTATCCATACCTCCTCCAAAAATGTACCCCTGCTTTGCTTAACTTTTAAATGGCATTACATGATAATTCTTAAGAAAACAATAATCTGCATGACCAGGATGTTAGTTATTTCTTAGTGGAATCCTCATCCTCCTAAAGGCTCATATTTCAAGGGCCAAACTCTCCCTCGAAACCATGTTAAAGCACGTTACTGTTGACACCGCAATTTTGCCAACTTGCACAACATTGTCACTTAAAGTGCAAATTTGACATGAAAAGCCCTTCTCTTGCTTTTCTGTGTTTAATATCGCGCTGACAACTGTATCATTCCTGCACACTGTAATCAAATAATGACACCGTGGTAAATGTTCCCCCGTGACATTTCCTATTATAAAATGCACAGAGCCTGGTGTCAGACAATGCGTGGGTGGTATCACTCAGTGGCAAATGGGATTGTAAGTGGCATCTGGATGACATTCGGCGTGTTTGCATTGGAAGTAATTGCACTAGTATATTGATGATATGCATAGGTGTATGTCATCTGGAATTATGATTGTTATTCTTGAAATAAGGGGGGGAAATCACATCACTCTCCATTAAAATCTGTTTGACACTTTTATTGGGGGGGATATTACAAGTGTGTATGATTGCACTTTAAATCACACATAAAGGTATGTTTGATATGTAAACCGGTGATAGAAAAGTACAGAAATATTAAGCATCTCCAGGTTTCAAAGATTAATTTCAATCTAACAACCATGTATGGCTAAATATGTGCATTTGCATGCATTTGTGAGCAATAGCTGACCACCAAGAAGCCAGTTTGTCTAACAGAGTTGTAGACATTTGCTCATTTTACATATCAACATATTTCCTATCTTGTTTCCACAAGTTTTTCTTCTATTCTGTTTCCTTCTCCTAATTTCCTAAAAGCTACCAGCCATACTTTTATGGAAATCGTATAGACATAAAATTTTATTGTAGATTAACATGCCCTGTTCAACTCCATTTGCTTTTAAATTATTTTCTGATAAAGATTATAGCCAAAATTTCCTACCTCTGCCTGACATCATATGTGGCATAAAGCAACCAAGGGGAGAAATTTTAAATGCCTGAATTAGTTTTGTTTTTATTTGTGTTTTAAAGTAATTCCTGCATTTACTTCTTAAAGCTTTAGCAAAAATTTTTAGCCTCATGCGAGAATATTGTATAGCAAAAAAGAATGGTTGCACCCCTTTCTCCCCATGTAAAACCAGATTTAAAAAAAAAATGTTGTAATCTGTTGAAAGCAAAGCAGTTCAATCTTTAAAAAGAAAGGTATTCAGGTTAATTCTTGTACCTCTTGCAATCTTATTTAAAAAAAATATATAAACAAAACATATTGCTGTTTCTCTCTTAAATTTTTCTTTCAAAGAACATTTTATTTCATTACACTCAAAAGTTGTAATCTTTTCCTCTTTACTTAGCTGTGCTATTTCTTGTCACTGTAATAAAATGGAATCCACCTTATTACCGTACTTTAACTCGGTTTTATTCCTCTCTTTTTTTCCATACCTTTTCTCCATCTTCTCTAGACTCCCATGCTGTAGTTGAATTCCCTCTCGTTTCCCTCCTTGTCTGTTGGGGCCTGGGAAGAAAATCTGGTATCCTCTTATTGGATTGGCTGTTTCACTTTGGCAGCTCTTCACTTGCCGCCCTGTGGCTTGTTTGGGTAATGATAATATCATTTAAATATCCCAGTACTTATCAGAGTATATCCTATGTATATCAACACCTCAGATACACTCCTTTATAAAAGGTTGCATAAGAGAATTCATGAACTAATATAGAGAGGAAACAGATGGAAAGTGTAAAAAAGATGAGTTAAACTAAATGAGAAAGTAGCAGAAGAATGGTTAAAAGAAAGAAATTTGATTAGGATGAAATGTATCAGGTGTTACTTCTAGGCCTAAGATAGAGAGGAAAGTGAAAAGATGTTGTGGTTGAATTAGGATGAGAGATGTGTAATGTGACTCTGTGGCATTGTTCCAGACCAGAGGTGTGTTATTGTAAGCTATTCTCACCCAACACACGTCCACTGTACACTTGTGGTAATGTAAAACATCCTCCACCATCTCCTCATCTCTCCCCTCCAAGCTCTTTTTTTTCCCTCTCTGCAACATTGTTCTCTCGTGTTAGGATGTGTATACTAAGTGTGGGAAGTACAGGAGCATGCCAAATCCCAGATCAGGTTTAAAAATTGATTTGAATGACTGTTGTGGACAGTTGATAGTTATAAAAGATATTTTTTTCTCCCTCTTTCATTTTCCAGGGAGTCTCTCCTTAGATGTTGGATGGTAGTCTGCAAACCTTTGAAGCTCAACTAGAGCGTCTCACTGCACTACTTGATTCTGCGTGAGGTAAAGTTTGTTGTGTGTTTAGACATGCATATATGCTGGGGGGGTGTGACACCACATCTAGCTCTCAGGACATAATTATGAAGTTTCAGTTTATGAGAAAGTGATGAATTTTAACCAATATTATGTGGAAAAATTAAGATTACCTGAGTTCACAAATCAAGCAAATACTTAAATAATACCAAATGTTTTAAAGAATATTTAACCACTGTAGGGTGCTCTTATCAAATTTCACTAGTCAACAAATGGTGATTTGTATAAAAGTAGCACTGAAAGAATTGTTGTACTTTGTAAAACTATGCATTTCTGGTTTTATTAGTCTAAGTTATTTAAATACTAAACAGGATATTATAAAATTCAGTCTGGTCTCAATAGAATTGAACCCAGAACCTTCTTGCTGCATGGCAACAGTGCTACCCATAATCATCTGCTTTTTTGGCTTAGCCAAGTAGGTAGGGCCATCACCAAAAGATGGCAGCCATATTTTAGGCACTGCAAAAGTCAAGGTGGGCTCTACAATAACTACTTTTATCTTTTATCTGCCTTAAACATAGGTAAGGGATGTGAAGTACTTTGCTTTACCAGATAATTACTTATGGTGAATTTTTTTTTAGCTAAACCACAAATCAACTTATTTTGCAGAAAAACTGTATAACTTGGGCCTTTAGAGTACCATATTTAGGTTGATATTTTTGTGTAAATTGTTTTATAAAACCATCTTAGTGGTACCTCTTTCATTTCCAGAATTAACTGAAGTTACAAATACAGCTGGTTTATTTCTGAGTCATAGCTACATTGGTGCTTTCTACTTACCTATGGACTCAGAAGCGGGTAATCGTAGTGACTTTGAGGGGACAAAGGTGGCCCCCAGTGTCTCTTTTTAATGTTCATTTTGGTGACATATACAAGACTTGCTCTTGGACTGGGTTATGCTTTGATAAAAGGCACTCAGCAATCCTTTTCAAAACAGTTTCAAGAGTTTTATACTAAAACTATAAAGCTTAGGTTTTGTAATTTAGGCACCAGCTGCAGCCCTTATGCATTTCACAGGCATTTCTCTTAAATTGGTTCCATTACGAGAACAGGGAAGCTCAAGACCTACTTCCTTTCTTGCTTCAAAATAAAAGTCTTTTAGATCTAAAGAAGTTTCAAGCTCAAAGAAATGACCTGGAGGCAAAGGGTTATTAATAATAACGAGTAAGACTTAATTCAACAGATGATGTCATGGGCTGACAGTGCATGCTGGAGTGTTTAGTTTTACAAACTTCCCTCTTCTCAAAAAAAAGTCATGCTTTTCTAATATTAAGAGATGTCATTGCATAAGAACTCCTACCTCTTCATCCACTTTAAAATGTAATTAGTATGGGGTTCTATTTACATTTCAACCTCCATAACAGACCTTAGTATACTGCTTTTTCACGGTTCATCTTATAGATAAGTGACCTATCATTTTGTCAGATTTAAGAAAATCAGTTTCAGGTGCATAAGATTTCCTATTTGCATTTAAGCTAGATTTCTTTTTTTTAATCTCCTAATAATCTTGCTATCACACATGTATGAGAGAGATATCTTTACCAACTCTAAATTTAACATATTGGACCTCTAACAAGGCAGTCACCTTTAAATTGCCCTGTGAGGATAAAAATCTCTAAAATGCTATTTTGCATTTCATCAGCTCTCTTTCTGCATTCCTCCAACCGACCGTACCCTCCAACAATCTAATAATCCCCAGGAGAGAAAATTCTGCTCTCTTGCCACGGATGCTGGTGGGGGTCGTGAGGTCAAGTACGGCTAATTTATTCACTCAGTCAGATTTCCTCTGACTCGTGGATGGCAGATGGAGAGGCCGATATGATATCACCCATCTGAATCACCCAGGGGAGAAAGAAGAGGCTGAGGTGGAGACGGCAAGGACAGATGTAGGGATGAGAGGAGAAGAGATTGACAGGAAAGATTCAAAAAGAAAGGGGGCACAGATAGTAAAAATTGGGGAATTAAAAGTGGTTAGATAGAGAGATAGGGCGACATAGCCGGCAGGAGTGTGGGGGTATGTTCGCCCCACTGAGTCAGCTGTTGAGCTGAACATTGAGTTACACAAGCTCTTATCAGATGTGTGTGTGTGTGTGTCCTTATCTTAAGACAAGTGGTTCTGGTCCAATAATATCCAGGGAGCTGGTAGGAATAAGCTTCTTAACCCAATATCTGACATGGAGGAATGAGATAGAATAGATAGTGGCAGAGAGATGAGAAGATGTGATGAGGATGGAAAGAAAATGAAGAGTAGGAGATGAACTGATAGTGGGATTGTGAAGGCAATATGGGAACAACTTGAAGGATATGAGTTGTGGAAGTCGGTGAAAACTGGAATAGAAGACGTGATGTGAGAATGGTTTGGATGAGTAAAGTAAAATTAGGGGTCTAAAATAGTTATACTGTAGGCCTTTTTTTCCAGAAAGAAAGGATTTGTGGAATCGGATCAACAGTGTCAACTTGAAGACACTTTTTCCCAGGAGGTCCTTTTATATTCTCTGCTTATAGACATCAGCCTGTCATCTGAAAACTCTTAATGGCTCTTCTAGGAACACCATTAGAAGATGGTGGTTGGGTTGATAATTTATTCAATGAATGTTAAAAGACCAATGAGCTGATTTTAGATACATTTGAAGAAAAGATAAAAGAAATACACAAATGACATAAACTTTAAAAAAATGTGAATACAAAATATACTTTGATAGCAATCATTACCTGATTTTATTTTTACCTTTTCAGATGCTGACTGACTGAAAATGAGGAGCAAGATTTGATGACCCATAGATTTCCTTACTCCTTTGACCATTTGGCTTCGACATCAGATCCAGCACTCATAAGCAAGAAAAGCTTTTACCTGCTCTTACCCTGGAAGACAACACCTATCTTTATTATAAGAAAAAAAACAGTCCAGATATCCTTAGGGGCAACAACCTAAATGATCTGAACTGAATCATTCTTAGGTGAAGTTGGTTCTTGACATATTGTATGACTGGACGTTCTTGAGACCCCTTCTCCAAAGAAAAAAACACTGCAGTCACCATCTTAGGTTTCCTGCATGTCCTCAGACCCTTTCCAAGGGCCTTGAGTGTCGTCTTCAGTTTCTCTGAGGAGGATTCCTTTCCTCCTCCTCCTAAAATTTTTAAGACATCCTTTGACCGCCCAAACATGGACCTCCACCGGGCAGCCTTCAAGATGGAGAGCTCCTCCTATCTCCCAAATCCTCTTGCCTCTCCGGCCCTCATGGTGTTGGCCTCCACGGCTGAAGCATCCCGTGATGCTTCAATTCCATGCCAGCAGCCTCGTCCATTTGGTGTCCCTGTTTCTGTTGAAAAGGATGTCCATTTGCCGTTTAATAATGGCTCGTACACCTTTGCGTCAATGTATCACCGCCAAGGTGCAGTTCCACCAGGATTTCCCAACAGGGACTTTCCTCCTTCTCTCCTCCACCTTCATCATCAGTTTGCCCCACCCAACTTGGACTGCTCGCCCATCAGCATGCTGAACCACAGCGGTGTAGGCGCCTTTAGGCCTTTTGCCTCACCTCCGGAAGATCGAGATGGGGCACCAGGGGGTTATCAGTCGGCTTTCACTCCAGCCAAGCGCCTCAAAGGCTGCCTGGATGCAGAAGCTTCGCCTCACCTGCGTTACTCTGATGCTGAAGGGAAAGAGTATGACTTTGGTGGCACCCAGATCCCTCCTGGAGGCTCACCCAGCAGCGCCTTGAAAGCAGTCGAGGACAGCGGGAAAAAGATCTTTGCTGTGTCAGGCCTCCTGTCAGACCGAGAGACTTCCTCCAGCCCAGAAGACCGCATTGAACGCTGTGAGTACTGATTTACATGTTTCCTACTACAATCTTTTCTAAGGAATATAATTCTACATACATGATGCATTTAAACACAGTAAGATAACTAACAAACCAAACCAATTGGCTATCCAATTCAACCCTTTATTAGAAACCTTTGTGTAGCCTTGAAATTTACATCGGAAGGTTGAATAATCTCAAGGTCCATGTATAAAAAACTTGAAATTCAGGCCCCATCCACACGAAGTCAAAACGAACACGAAACGCTAATATTTTCCAGAACGTTTGTCGTAAAGACGGAGACGTAAAATAAACGTGATCGTCCACACGAATGCATGAAAACGCTGCAAAATGTATGCCAGGCCTGTAAGTGGCGCTGTGGTGCCAAAGCAAAAATAGGCGACGAAATGTTGGGCATGCGCACTAATATTTATGGTTGCCCTGCGGGTCCATTTTCGTGGTTCAGTCAAATTCAGGTGCTGAAGTATGTCGTCGATATTGCTCTGTTCTTCCTGGAGATATTCCAGAAGAAGAAGATTCTGTTGTAAGCCCAACAGCAGGGTGAGTAGCATGAGCAGCAACCATTCAACACAGTACGGCGCCATTGTTGTTGTGATACTGTGTCACGCATGCATGTTAAGAGGCGATGCTATGACACATGCGTGTAAGAAAAAAATGCGGTTAGAGCTTAAAGATGGAAACGCGAAAACGGCGTTTTTAAAATCTTCCCACTCTGAAGGCTTAATAAAAAAAAGATTGTTTACAGACCCCCGAAACGCCGGCTTCGTGTGGATGAGAGGCTGGTTTGTTGAAAAATTTGTGCGTTTAGGCCAGGGTTTGGCTTCGTGTGGACGGGGCCTCAGTCTTGGTAAACCCATATGACCAACCCCCAAAGACCACTATATTACAATTACACATCAGTAGGCATCTTTTGTTAATCTAGTTTTATTAATTTGTTTTCCAACCACAACTTCCTGTTGTTTATGCAGAGCACAAGAACATCTTTTTTATGAATAATTAGTGAAAATTAAAATCATGATTAATACTTTTAGTATGAAGAAATTTGTAACAGTGACTGCATTAGGGAAGTTTCTGCCAGTTTTGACAATTACAAAATTAAGGAATGAGTTCTATATTTATGTAGTCACATCCCTCAATGTTGTACCTGGGGTCCAGATAAGCTTAGATAATTGATTACCTTCCTGCATTTATTTGATAATAATAATAAAAACAATAATACATTTTTGCTACATTTTGTTAAGGAACTTACTGAGTTGTATTGCACTAGTGAACAAGCCATCTATGTCTTCTTGTCATCATCTCTCCTGGCTCTTGGTATCCTTTCACAAGTCCACAAGCTTCACTGGTCACATTAGCATTTACCAGTGGAAGGTTGCCATTTGGCCCTCATACACTGGGATTCTGATTGTGTGAGCGTGCTTCAGTGTGTGTATATACGAGTAAGTGAGTGTGTGTGACTGGTTCAGAGACTGGGCGTGCTCTTTGCCATCAGCATTCATCATCGCTCCGCGCTGGCAGCCGCATTGCCAAAAGATTTACCCACATACCCCAACACTTGGCAGACCATGTTTGTTGGTGTATGTGTGGGAGTTTGTGGTAGATGGGTTGTAAAGGCTCCAAGCACAAACACACAAACACTCCAGTAGAGACACAAACAGCTTTTTAGCATGACCAGCAACATCTCCTACAGATGTCAACAAGCTGCGTTGGATCTTGGTGACAAATTGGGAGATGGGAAGACAGAGATGTAAGCTTGTGGCATCTAATTACAATGGCCTGTCTCTGCATTTTCAATTAAAAAAAATATTACATAGTTTCTGCAAATTCTCTTATCGATACATCACTCTTCCTCCTTCTTATCCTCTTACATGTTTGAATTTGTTAGTGGGTGATTTGTCCTTGATGGAAGAGATGAGAGACAGAGGCGACGACCTGAGACTGATCCGATAAAAAGACCACCACAGGAGAGACAGAGAGGGTTAGGAAGAAAGAGCTGAAGAAAGAAAAGTAGAGGGGGGGAATTGGGAAAATTACACCCAGAGGCTGGCAAAGGTTGTGGTAACAGCTGAGGACTGGAAGAGAGAAACTAAAGATTTAATATATTAATATAAAGAGACAATATCAAGCAGAATGAAAAGGGTAAAATAGGGTGAAGGGTTAGAGTAAAAACTGTGAGTGCAAGGCTTTTGTGCTGCCTTTAGGTGGCCTCAAATCTGTATCTAAATACATTTACTTTCAGCATTGTAGCATCCACCTCAGCTATAGGCTTTAAACACAATTGGTAGTGTAGAGGAGCTTCTTACAGCAGAGTTATGGGTTCTTCTTCACTGGCCACGGAAATCCAGAGGAGCTGTAACAAACAAACAACTCTTTGGGACAGTCCCTAGAGGGTAATGGCTTTGCTGTTTCACACAAACACACACACCCATACAACACTCAGCAAGCAATTCTCAAACTACTTCACACAATAACCTATTTTGGACTGCCATACTGATTAGAAGCTTTAATGTGCTGGGGATCATAAAATTAAAGACTGACTGAGGTCACAGAGTAATCATATAGCCAATTCATAATATAGAAGTTACACAATCAGTTTAAAATCAAGTGATTATTTGTATCATTTCTGTACTTTAGAGTTTTTATTTTTTTTTTATTCACATCAAACATATGTTTGATGAATGGTCCCATAGAGACATTGTAGGGCGGCAGACACATTGAAGATAACAAGGAACTTATTGTACTGGTGTGCTTAGGTATCTATGGGTAACTTATCAGTAGTGATAGGATTTATAATCTCTGGCTTTAATTTACAGTTGCTAATAAAGTGCGGATATCTTTCGCCCATGTGAAATTAATTACACGTGGCTTCAGGGATGCAGTAAACTAATAATAACACTAATAACAACAGTTTTAAGGGTATGTTTTTGTCAGTGATATTTATCTAGAGACTGAAATCATGCCCATTCCTTCTCACAAAATAGCTTAAGCTCAGTCTGATTGGATCTAAAACATCTGTGCACATCAGATTTCAAATGTGGATTAAGATTTAGGTCTTGACTGTGACTCTGTTTTTAAAACCTGAAAAAGTTTTTATTCAGATTATTCCATACTAGCTCTTGCTGGATATCTGAGGTTACGATCCTGTTGAAAGGAGATCAGCTTTCCGGTTGCTGCTTTAAAAAATCGTAATGAAGGTTTAAGGGCAGGATCTCCATGTCTTACCTTGGCACAATTATTAACCCTCATAAATAACGGAATCAGGAAGCAATCTTCTAATTTATGTTTGTTTGTAATGCTGTAGCGGTATCCATGAACCACCACACCCCCCCACCCAAAAAAAAAAAAAAAGAAGTTTCAAAAATATTATCCCTTATGTGCCTATTGTCAACCTTGATGATCCTGGTGATGTTTTGTATCTGTAATAAACCTCTGTGGCCATTAATCACTAAATAGGTGGGTATATATATATATACATATATATACCGGTATTTGAGATGACTAAATGCACTTTTTCAACTGCTTGTACCTGACCAGATTGACATTACAGGGATTATTCCTGGAAAAAAAATGGATTTACACAATTAAAGCCAGGAACCAAGGGATTTTGCAGTCTGTTTTCCAAGGATATGAAGAATAAGCAGACATTTTATGCAGCAGCAAAACAAACAAACAAATAAACAAACAGACAGGAGTCAAATATTTGCCTACATGGTTCCTCTGCAAAATCAAAATCTTTATTCTTATGTGCCATATTCCACATACAAAGTAAAAAGCATATTTTCTTTTTTTCAAATCTTTCTCTTCCTGTTACAATCTGATTACATTCTTTTATTCAAGTTCATAAGTGTAAATGTGAGCCACCCTTGACTGTCTTCACGCATTACAACAAAAGCATTAAACATCTCAAAAACCCTGCAATCCTTGGCTCTTTCCGTGAAATTCTGTTGAGTCCGCTGCCACTCCAGGCAACAGTGGCCTTCTCAATGCTAAGCCATCCTAAATCCCCCCACCGCACCAGCAGGCACGTCGGCTGTTAACTAAACCCGCTAACCTGTCAGCCGCTAAACCTGCACATAAAGGCCTCATCATGCCTTAAGAGGACTGTTCACGTTGTTTTATTGTAAAAGCTATTATCATTTATTGTATACAGATTGCTGTGGTTTAAGCATGAGAACAAATGACATCAAATACAGAGGAAGAAGGGCATGAGGGTGTGAAAAAAGACAAAAAAAAAGGAATTATGGGATATAAGACTGGAATTAATGGGACTGCAGAAAGATTGAACAATCCACCCTAGTGGTGCACTTGTTTGTTTGTTGAGGGGATTTGCTGGTGTTGGATGAGGTGTCAGTGCGGAGGTCTGAGTGTGTGTATGCTCATCAGTATCACCACATTCTGTCATGTTTGTTTTCACCAGCTTCTTTCTTGTCTCTTTGCCTCCTTCTTCCCTCCCTTACCACCACCATCCGCCTCCTCTCGTATGCATGAAAATCTCCCAGTGCGAGTGCGACAGCTGTAGTCTGTTTGTTGACGTTCTCTCGGCTCCACACATTTACAAGGCTTTGAGAATTGGGTTGAACCTGACCCTAAATGCTAAATCAAGTCTTCTTTCTGTTTTTTTCCCTTTTCTTGTTGATCAATGCTTTTTCTCAGGCCCCTGTCGCATTTTTTTAACATGTTTGTTTAAACTATGTAGTTTGGATTATTTTTCTAGTTTTAGTGTTTATCTTTTACTTTTTAAGTACTAAATGGAGCCATCCTGCCTTGGTTATTTCATATTATGCATACTTCTTTCATTGTTTTTAATACTAAAATTAAAGTTTGTTGGAAACAGACTAGATAATGTGAGAGAGGACAGGAAGAAAACCAGAAAGCAACATTGCCCATGCACTATGTGAGGCTCCATCCTATCACTTTTAATGCTCAAAAACAGAGTTTTCACAAGTCTTTGAAAGTGTTTTTCAAATGCAAGTTTATGTGTACAAATATTTCAACTA